CCCCAAACTCTCTGTCTCTGTCTCTCTCTCTCTCTCTCTCTCTCTCTCTCTCTCTCTCTCTCTCTCACTCTCACTCTTACTGTCTTCCTCTGACACTCACACATGCACTAATATACACATACTATTTCCCTCCCAAATTCTCCCCCTCCCTCCCCCTTCCCCCCTGACTATCTCTCAATGACTACTTTCCACATCGCCAGTGCGACTTGATGCTCATCACAACAATCCCCGGAGACAGAGCTTCCAGTATTATGGTCAACGCGTCCTTCCCGACTGACCTACGCCTGGTCAGGGTACATCCAGGAGGACTCCAAGAGCAGCTATGCAGGTAAAAAGGGATGCCCATTGATGGTCAAATGGACTCGATGTGCATGATCAGATCGGACCGGGTTTGAGGCACTAAAGTGGGCTGGCTAGTACTGCACATCTTAGCAAACACTATTTCCCTCTGTAACACTTTTTGACTCTGAAGTCTACCATCGCATTCTGCGCTCCAACGCAAGATTTAACTCCTTAATGTCATATTATGGTACACAGAAGCCTTTTAATTGGCTGTAAGCGAGGCTTTTCGTCAAATTCACTCGGTCATGACATCGAGAATGAAGCGTGTTCGACTATGAGGTTCGAATCGATTTGGCCCCGCCTCCCCCCCCCCTCTCTCTCTCTCTTTCTGTTTCTCTCTCTCTCTCCCATAAGGCTAAATCTGGTCGCACTCAAATGAGGTGGGTGTTGGGTGTAAGGTAACAATCAAGGCTTAATCCATGAAATTTAATTCAATTTTTCTGCTAGCACTGTCGTTCTCAAATTATTTGTTTCTCTTCAGCATATTGTTTGTAGACGCCTTATCTTTCCATTTGCCGAAAAGAATAGAGACCTCAATAAATTACAAATCAAAGTCTACAGTTGAGACGCTTTGGTCCCCTGTCAGTTATGCCATGACAAAAGGGAACTTGAATGAGCTCCATCTCTGTTCGACTCCCTTTAGGGTGAATTTTAAAATCCTATCCCTCTCAGCCCGGGTTGGTCCTGACAAGCGGAACAAAAGCCGCCTCCTAAACGATCTAAATTGTGTTGATTGGGCGCAAAACATCTACATAGAAACGTGACTGATTTCAAATGCGTTCACAAAATCACTTAGGCCCAAAGCACATTAATACTGGTTGTCGTGGTAATGCATTACTCATTTTTGACCCCAAAAAAGGACAAAGTGCTGAGCAAAAAATCCACATACAGTAAATTTTCGAGCAACTTCAGTTGAACACTGCTGAATTCTAGAATTGTCCAGGGTTTTTTTTTTTAGCATAGGCCGAGGACGACCTGGCAGAAATTAATCCTTTTTCGAAATTCTTGGTGGAAAGTACATAAATAGCTTCCACCATGACAATGACAGCAATGTAGCAATGTGTAAGACTGGAGTTATCAAATTTTGCAAAATATTAAAGGGATTGGAATCAGATAACAATTAGGATGTCATGAGTCATGAAACCAAAAATTGCTCTTCTGGTTTGCTCAGCCATCATGCCCTTGACAGTGGTCTAGGTAGGCTAAGCTGGGAATGTTTGCTAGAAGAGACATACGTAAGTACCTGTACTCCCTTTTAATAGAAGGTAAACCTTCAAATGATAGGCACGCTTAGTTTGGGATTTTCGTTTGCGTGATAGATGGAATGGGGCGACATGCTCTGCGAAACTAACTCACCCCCCACCCGCCCCACAGAAGATTATCTTTTTCTCTGTTTGTTCCACTTTTTTGGGTCCTTTCTGCAAATTGCTGAAGCTCACCGCTGGTAGTCTGTGATCATCTAAAATGGTCTGTACTGGTTGAATGTAGGTCTATGTTAATATCACACACAAAAAAACAACTAGTCTAAGCATTTGTTACGTCCACAGTCAGTTATTATTTTTATATTGTAAATTTAATGTTCTTGCTTCCCAATATGATATTGATGACCATTTACCTTTGAACTATTGTATGCTCTAGTGCGCTGTCAGCTCAATAGTATATCTGACTTGACCTCAGTGTCCTTTGACTCTGGTTCAGGTTTCTTTTTTGAGACTCAAAGAGATTTTGAGATTGCGTTATTTCAAGGATGTTCATGTTTGTTGACACTATCCTACAGGACACCGACCTTTATTCATTTTGTTTTTTATTGACAAAACCTACACCTGACAAAACGGAAAATATTCAACTCGGAGTCAATTTAACTATGTTTATCTCACAGTTTCCATGAGACATTCCGCGAAAAGGGAGACTACTGGGTGTTTGTGGAGTACCCTGCCCCTGCTGAGGCCACCAAGTGTATCTTCATTCTCGCCAACGACCCCGACATCCCTGAGCTGGGTGAGTCGTTCGAGACGTATCGTTTATTTTCTACTTCTTCTTTGCTTGGTGAAAGTCTTTGGTTGGTTGTGTGCTTGCAGCGTGCCTATCAGCCTTGATCTGTTAAAATAACGGGCAACGCCTTCTATTCTTCACCACACAAACTGAGCGTTATGTGAACAGTGAAAAGTAATTGAAACCTATATATTAACTTCAAGTGAGAAGAACTGCTGAAAGAAGTAGGGCTAACCGTTTTGCAAACGGAAAATAGTTAAGAAAGGACGTGATCGCAGTGGACCCGCTTTAGATTTTAAAAAGGAGTAAAATACGCTCCGATTTAAGTACTCTCTCTCTCTCTCTCACTCTCTCTCTCTCTCTCTCTCTCTCTCTCTCTCTCTCTCTCTCTCTCTCTCCACCTACCTACCCCCTCTTTCTCCCCACGTCACTCCCATCCATATATCTTTGACTCCTGTTCTTTCTCAAGTTTCTCCCATAAGTCCTACCCTCTCTCTGCTGGTGGATAAAAAAAGCAATAGATCTCACTTCCTCTTCAAATTCGAGAATAACTTATGAAAAAAGCGCCCAGGACTGATTCACGTTCTATCTAAGAATACACTTATTTCACCTCTTCAGTTTTTGATCAAAGACAGCTTTGTTACTAAACTGTCATAAAATTGTTGTACCATGTCCCGATGTTATCTGGAATAAAAGAACGTGTATGTTTGTAAATTGTAAATATGGACTAAAATAATAGAAACGTAACGATATCAGCAATACCGAGAGAAAGATAGAGAGGGAGAAAGAGAGAGAGAGAGAGAGAGAGAGAGAGAGAGAGAGAGAGACAGAGAGAGAGACAGAGAGAGAGAGAGAGAGAGATCTCAGGACGGTAACGGCTTTGCAGTGCTGGGACAAGTAAGACAGACAGGCGGAGACAACAGAGCTGCTATAGCGAAACTGAACTGCACACACCGGTGGTA